GGGGGGTAAGAGATCAACTGAAGGACTTGTCTGCATGCATATAAGCATAACCAATGGACACAAGACACTGGGGGGTAGGAAAGGTCGGGGGAAGGTCAAGGGGGGAAAAAAAGGAGACATGTAATACTCTTTGTAATACTTTAAGCAATAAAACAAAATAAAAAAAATAATTAGAGATAGTGCACACTGAAGAGAGAAGATTAAAGGGGAAGACGAGCCATATGATAGTTGTCCTTAGTGTTTCAAAATGCTCCAGCAAGGAAGAAGTGAAGAGAATCCATTGTTGGTCCCAGATTTTAGAATGACAACAATGGGTAGAAGCCATACTTAGGGCAGTGATTCTCAGCCTTGTCTTCAACAATGGAACCATGTCGGGAGCCTTAAAAAGTACCTATGCCTGAGCTTTACCTTTAGAGATTCTAACTTAACTAGTGTGAGGTGCTACATAGTCTTCCGGACAACACATTCTAGAGCAGCGGTTCTCAACCTGGGGGTCGAATGACCCTTTCACAGGGGTTGCCTAAGACCATTGGAAAACACATATATAATTACATATTGTTTTTGTGATTAATCACTATGCTTTAATTATGTTCAATTTGTAGCAATGAAATTGGGGGTCACCACAACGTGAGGAACTATATTAAAGGGTCGCAGCATTAGGAAGGTTGAGAACCACTGTTCTAGATTTTTAAGAAACTTAAATTTGCTAAACTTTTTTTAAGCTAATATTTGATTAATCAGAAGCTTCAGTTTACTAGAAAAGAATATCTCATTCCCCCAAACTGATTAAACTGATTTTAACACTCTGTTTTGAAAAAGTTTCAAACCTACAGAACAATAAAATAATAGTACAATGAACTTGTACTTTTCACCTAGGTTTATAAATTTTAATATTTCTCCACATTTACTGTATGTCTTTTACTGTATGTACATATTGTTATTACTGAACCATTTGAAGTTAAGTCCAAGGCCCATCATTCCCAAATACTTCATGATCTATCTCCTAAGAACAAGGATATTTTCTCAGATAACTAGGGAACAATTATGTAATCCACAGAAAGCAACATCAATACAATATTATCTTCTAATATATAGTACATATTCAAATTTTCCAGTTGTCTCAATAACCTTTATAACCATTTCTTTTCTGCTTTAAGCTCCAGGGTGGGAACACAGTCATTGCATTCAATTGTATCTCTCTTTTTTTTTACATATATTTTTATTGATTTCAGAGAGGCAGGGAGAAGGAGAGAGCGATAGAAACATCAATGATGAGAATCATTGATTGGCTGCCTCATGCACACCCCCTACTGGGGATCACCCCTACAATCCAGACACGTGCCTTTGAGTGCCCTAGAACAGAATTGAACCAGAGACCCTTCAGTCCGCAGATCAATGCTCTATCCACTGAGCCAAACTGGCTAGGGCAATTGTCGTATCTCTTTAGCCTCCTTCAATTTTTAGTAGGTCCTCATCTTTTTTTTTTTTTTTTTTTGGTTAAACCTTACCCAAGGATATTTTTCCATTGATTTTGAGAGAATGGAAGGGAGAGGGAGAGACACAGAGAGAGAAACATCAATGTGAGAGAGACACATCAATTGGTTGCCTCCCACAGAAGCCCTGACCAGGGATCGACCCTGCAACCAAGGTACATGCCTTTAACTGGAACCCGGGACCCTTCAGTCCACTCAGCCAAACTGGCTAGGGCTCATACTCTTTTTTTTTTTTTTTTTTTTTTTTTTTTTTTGGTCTTTCATGACATTTTTTAGGGCAAGCCAGTTTTTAGAATTTCTCAATTTAGGTTCTTATGATTGGATTCAGGTTAGAAATACTACATAATGTCAGTGTGTCTTCAGTACATCACATCAAGAGGCATATGATGTCAATTTACTCTCTTATTGATGGTAGTAATATTGACAACTTGGTCAAGGTAGTGTCTGTCAGACTTCTGAAAGGTAAAGCTAACTTTTATCCTTTGTAATGAAAAACTAATCTGTGTAAGTATCCTGTTCCCCAGCAAATTTTCACCAATCATTTTAATGCCCAGTTTGCCCAACGCAGTTATGAGGCTTACAGAATGTTGCTGTTTTTAGTTTATCATTCTACACTTATTAGTTAGTTGGCATTCTACTATGAAGACAGTCCTTTTCTCCATTATTTATTTACAATTTTTTAGTGTCAGTATGGTCTCGGATTGTTCTGTAGTTCAATTTATTATATCCATTAACTGTCATTAACCTTCTTAAAATATTTTGTTGAAATATAGTAACCTTCTTAAAATATATAGTTTACATATAGTAAAGTGCACAGATCTTAAGTGTGCAGCATGATGAATGATTTCATATAAACACATCTGTGTAATCACCACCTAAATCGGGTAGAGAATGTCTGGCCTGCCAAGGCATTAGGAGTGAGTTAATTAAATGTTTGAACAAATATAGCAGAATAATTTTTTAAGTTGATAATTTTGTATGGTCCCTGAATGAAGTTATAAATATCCAAATGGCCCTTGGTAGAAAAAAGGTTCCCCACCCCTGAATGGGTGAATAGACAATTTCTAGCACCTCAGAAGCCTCCCTCATGGCCCTCTCAGTCTCATTATTTTTGTCCCTGATTTTGACCAGTGGAAACCCCTTCAACCTGGTTCTTGTATCCTGATAAGTCCCCAACTTTTTTCACTCTCTGGCACAAATTATTGTAGATTCATCTTGCACTTTCTCTGCTCCAGCCTGGGAATTGGCCATTTCTTAAATGAGCTTTGGTTCCTTTTACTGGGGACTGTTACTTTGAAATTAGTATCTAGACACTAGCTGTGCTCATTCTACTGGGATGTTACTGCATCTAGGCCCTTTCAGAGGTTTGTGCTCGAAATACCTAATTTTATCTATTTTAAAAAATCACATCTGACTTAATCAATCATAAGGTTCTCTCCTTTCCCCCATTCTATTTTTTTTTACTTTTTTGTGTGTTTTTTTCTTTTGTTTTTTTCCCCCCATTCTATTTTTTTTTAATAATTTTATTGAATTTTAGAGCAGAAGGGAGAGGGAGAGGGAGAGAGAAGCATCAATGGGAGAGGGGAATATTGATCAGCTGCCTCCTGTATGCTTCCCCACCTGGGATGGAGCCTGAAACCTGAGCTGGTGCCCTGACCAGGAATGGGACCAGCAACCCCTCTGTGCATGGGATGATGCCACACTGACCCACACTGGTCAGGCTGTTTCCCTATTCTTAATTCCATATTCCCACAGTAAGACCCTAATGTTTATTCACTGCTCAACTTTAGAATATCCCATTGTAGTACTAAATAACAAGCCTACTAAGTAAAGTTAAAGATTTCTTCACAATTATTTTGTCTTTATTTTTATTTTGAGAGTACATTTATTAAAGCTGGGGACAGTGCAACAAGGAAGGATTTAGGGTACAAGCAGCAGCAGGAGAGACAGTCAGGGGCCGCTGTGGCTCTAGAAACGCCATGGGAAAGAAGTGAGCCAACCCGGGCTGCTACCCGCTCAGTGAGAGTCAGAGAAAAGGGGACCTTGGAGACAGGTTCAGGGGTTAGCCCAGGAGGAGCTGCTGCTGCCCACTGCTCCCCTGGTTGCAAGTCTCATGGGGTCCCTTAGAGTTTAGGATAGGAATGCCTGTGGGGGAAGATGGGGAGGGGAGGGGAGGATGCTGATGTGCTCCTGGGAGGGACAGTGTGCCTATTTTATCTATTTAAAAATAATATATTTCCATTGATTTCAGAGAGAGGGAGAGGGAGATGGAAACATCAATGATGAGAGAGAATCATTGGCTGCTTCTTGCACACCCCCCACTGGGGATCTAGCAGCAACCCAGGCATGTGCCCCCATGGGGAATCCAACCCTGACCTCCTGGCTCATACACCAGGCCTATTTCAAAGTACTCTGTTAAAAAGGTACTTGGACTCGTTAAATGGTTGTGATCCCAAAGTGACATTTCTAAGATGGTTGTTAGCAGGTTATATTAATTCATTCTGTGCCTCCTTCCTGGGGAATAGAACTGCCACAAGGGTAAGCACTTTTTCTTTTTCTTTTTTTTTTCATTGCTGTTAGTCTAGCGCTGTGATTTTCAACCGGTGGCCACAAGAATGTTTAAAACATGCAATACCTGACTATTTAGTCAGGGGCACTGACCTCTTTTCCCATAGACTGTCAAATTAAAATATGACAACAGCCAACACTACAATAGCCAGCTGGTATAAATCAAAAGTATACCTACTTTTTGGCCAGGTCGGCAAAAATTATAACATTTTTTTGGTGTGCCCAGAATTTTAGTAGTTTATGTGTGCCATGAGATGAAAAGGTTGAACAAATATTCATTGAATGAGTAAGTGAATGCCAGGGTTGAGGTATGCACAGAAGGCTTATGAAGCAAGTCCCTCCTGGCAGAATCTCATAACCTGGTAGCCTTAAAACAGAGTGTAGTGCTCCCCAAGGCTTTGGGGCGGGGGGTGGGGGGAAGGCTGGGGAAACAGCACCCCCAGCTGGTGAGTACAGGGCTTTAGAAGTATTCAAGAGTCAGCAGTCACGGGACGAGGGAGCCTCTTCAGGCTGCACCAAGCGGCCAAGGTGGGCAGTTTTCGCGGCTGGAGTCCGCCCTCAAAGCAGGGCTGCCAATACCCTGGTAGAGCCGAATCCCGACAAGGATGCTGGGAGGAGACTGCGAGGGCCGTGCCCGCGTCTGGGAACCCAGGCGCAGCGAGGCTTGCATCCCAGCAACCCAGGGCTTCTGCTTCCCAGTAAACCGAGCTTCCCGATCGCTTCCAGGCCTCCAACCACCCGGTCAACAAGCCCCGCCCTCCGCCGTCTCAGGCAGGTGCCGGGCGCCGATTGGCTCTATTTGAAGCCTTGCGTCGCAGCCTTAGGTAACCGAGCGCCAACGCGCTCCGGCCCCCGGCCTCTCGGCTTCCTATTAGACAGCCAGTGTCCAATCGGAAGGGCTTTTGAAGCTCAGTCCTCGGCAGGCGCTGGCTATTGCCCAACCCCGTCCCCACTCCCCAAGATCCTGGCGCCCCAGCCGCAGGGACTGTGCCTCCGCGAGCCGCGATGTGTGTCCTCTCAGAGCCTGTGGGCCTCCCTGCCCTCCGTTTCCTCCTCACAGGCCCCCACCTCCGTCAGAATGACGCTGGACGTGGGACCCGAGGATGAGCTGCCCGACTGGGCCGCGGCCAAGGAGTTTTACCAGAAGTACGACCCCAAGGACGTCATCGGCAGGTGAGGCCGCGGCGGGGGGGCGGGGTCCGGGGGGGGGCCAGGGTCCTGGCGGGACGGTGCTGAACGGGGTAGGTCAGTGCTCCGCTTGGTGGCGAGACTGGTATTCTGGGTCAACCCCCGTTTCCCACCAACTCGTGGATGTGTTCAAACGGTTGAATTACCTGCTGGGTGCCAGGTACAAAGCTAAACAGAAAGGGAAGGAGAGGTGCGTGTGCCCCGGAGGTGCTCCCAGTGAAGTAACTGAAAGAGACACAGGCACAGTCAGAAAGTGTCGGCTGTGAAAAGTGCTGGGGTCTCAGAACCACGGCTCCCGGAGGCGGTATCGGGGCCCCGGAGGACGGTGCGAGCTCAGCGTGCGGAGACGAGAAGGCCGTGTACAGCGTGCTGGGTGCGCTGTGCAGGGCGCCGGGCATACAGGACCCACAAGGTTTCTGTTCTGGAAATTATAGTTGTAGCGACAGACAGACAATAAACACAAAAACAGGATGAAGATCAACGCGCTGTGGAGACGATAGTGATGGCACGAGAGTCATTAATGAGCTGAGACTTGAAGGATGGGAATGAACAGGGCACGACTCAGGTAAGATATACTCCAGGCAGAGGGAACAATGAGTGCAAAGGCTCACGGTACGAAAGGGCCTCCTCAAGCGATAGATGGAAGAGCATAGTGGCTAGAAGTAAACAAAGTAGGAAATTAAATTGGAGAAGTGAATGGAGGTTGGGTTATGTAAGGTCTTAGGCCATGATAAGGAATTTAAATTTGAGCATCAGCCTGGGACTGAAGGGTCCCAGGTTTAATTCCCGGCCAGGGCACATGCCTGGGTTGTGGGCTCGATACCCAGTAAGTGGCGTGCAGGAGGCAGCCGATCAATGATTCTCTGTCATCATTGATGTTTCTCTCTCTCTCTCCTTCTCCCTTTACAAATATATTTGTAAAAAAAAAAGGAATTTAAATTTTAGTGAAATTGGTCATTTCAAACAAGGTAGTAACCTGAACTGATTTACATTTCTGTGATTTGGGAGCTAGGAACTTACCCTTTCTATGCCTCAATTGTGTGTGTGTGTGTTTAATAGATTTTTCTTGATTTCAGAGAGGGAGAGAGAGAGAGAGAGAGAGAGAAACATCAATGATGGGAGAGAATCACTGATGGGCTGTTTCCTCCACACCCCACAGGGGATTGAGCCCGCAACCCAGGCATGTGCCCTAACCAGAAATTGAGCCATGATTTCCTGATTCATAGGTCAACGCTCAACCACTGAGCCATGCCAGCTCTCAGTTTCTTAATTGTAAATTGGGAATAAAAATAAATCCTACTTTGTAGGTTGCTGTGAGGAAGAAAAGAATTAATATGGTACTTTTAGAACACTTTCAGGCACTTGGTAAGTGCTCAATACAGGTGTGTTAATTACAGTTCTAAAAGATCATTCTGGCTCTTGTGTAGAGAGTGGAGGAGGAGGGGGGCAGGAATGGAAGCATAGAGACCAGTTATGAAGCTGTTGATTCATTTAGGCTAGTGATGGTGGTGGGTTAAGACTGGGGTGGGGGTGATAAAGATGAAAAGAAATCGATAGTTTTAGGTGATGACTTGATACAGTTTCCTAAAGGATTGGATATGACCATGAGGGATAAATAGAAGACAGAAGAATAACCTCTAAGGTTTGGATTTGAGCACTTGAGTACCATTTATTGAAACAGAGAAGACAGGAGAATCAGATTATCGGGACAGGTGAGCAAGTCAAGAAATCCATTTTTTTTGCCCTCACTGGTTTGGCTCAGTGGATAGAGCATCAGCCTGTGGACTGAAGGGTTCCGGGTTCGATTCTGGTCAAGGGCACATGCCCAGGTTGCGGGCTCGATCTCCAGTAGGGGGCATGCAGGAAGCAGCTGATCAATGATTCTCTCTTATCATTGATGTTTCTATCTCTCCCTCTTCCTTCCTCTCTGAAATCAATAATTAAATAAACTCTGTTGATACCCTTCTGTGTATCCTTCAATCAAAGGTCTATGGGTATATATATTTTTTTTTTTTTTTTTAAAAAAAACCATTTTGGAAATGTTGACTTTGAGATACACAACTGGAGCTGTCAAGTGGGTCTTTGATTCTGGAACTAAAGGGAGAGGGCTGGGCTAAAGCTATAAATTTGCGAGGCATCAGTGTATAGATAGTAGTTGGCGAGAGAATATAGACAGAGAAGTGAAAGTGGCATGGGCTTAGTCTCTGGGATGTATCATGGGTTAGAGAAGGAAGAGCCAACAAGGGAGACCAAGGAGATGTCATCTGTGAGCTACAAAGAACAACAGGAAGAATGTGCTTCTGCAAGCTTGGCATGGTCTGCTGTGATAAGTGCTGCTGAGGCCCTGCTGGTGTGGCTCAGTGGTTGAGGATTGACCTATGAACCAGGAGGTCACGGTTTGATTCCCAGTCAGGGCACATGCCTGGGTTGCGGGCTCAATCCCCAGAGTGGGGCATGTGCAGGAGGCAGCCATCAATAATTCTCATCATTGA